TAACCAATACAGGACAAATATAAAAACCAATATATAGACAAAATTCTAATTTGGAGAGCCGAAACTTAACAGTGTATATGGATAAGCTCAGATAGAGCTTTAAACTCAATATTTCATTGGAGTCTTATTTCTTGCGATTACATCTGTATGAGTATTATCCAGCGGTGGTTTTATTGAATATATTACAGTCGTGATTAAACTACTCATATTATAATTACATTTTCAACGTTTCAATACGGATCAATATACTGATTTTGTTGCTCATGTTGATTGATTTCAGAAAAAATAGGCAAAACTATTTTAACTAATTTTTATCGCTTTTTTTCAAATCTGAAGTGCTTATCAACAAAATATTCGTCACATGTCAATATGACGAGTGTTGCATTGTACGCGAGTACTTACTAGCACATCGAAATGTATCTTCAAAACTTCAATATAATGTATTTGATGTAACTATGTAAGTGTACGAGTTGTAATATGTCATCGAATAATTTTTACATTTCATTACATAAAAAATAATAAGATTAACTGTTGATATTTTAAAAAAAACTCGTCAGAACTATCCAAAAATCGTTATACGTTTGTGTAATACTCTAAAATAAATTATTACTGAACATCTTCGTAGTTCTCGACAATCGAATATTTTAATGTTATAGATATAAAAAAAAAATAAAACAGTATGATAGAATCGATTAAAAATGATTTTCTTACATTGATCAGGTTTACATTTATAATTTGTATCAGATTTTTTTATAATCAATAATAGAAAAACTACTTTCGCACACACTATTTGATTATTGTCGAAAAAAAAAAGAAAAAAAGAAAAACACTCACACCAAAACATCGGTTCTTCACTGCACTCGGTCCGAAATTATCGTGCGTGTGGTGTGTATAGCTTATAGGAAATGTACCTATATGCAAGTCATGACAATTATAACGACAGTCAAACGGCAAAAGCGTGCATCTAATTATCGGACGATTGTAAAGTTTGTAGGTCATTCCAAATGTACAGACTATAAAAATGCATGCAAACACGATAACTATACTAAAGTTATGATACACAAAATGCGATTAGGAAATTGCCGTAGTGAATATCGTCTGCATATGGTAACAGTTGTTTAAACCGTCAAAGGGTACGGAGCAAATTACCTATATGTGTACACATACAATTATGTAAATAAATGCACGTTCTTCTGACCTTATACTACATACCACTTCATATAATTTTTGTAGTACGAGTGTAATTACTATTGTTGTGTTTTAAACACGGGCGTGATTGGATTTTTTTTTTTTTTTGTTGGACCAGTTGAAGGCCAATAATTATAAGATAGGGCAGCAAAAAAATGAGATTTCAGCAACAAGAAAAATAAATAAAAATAGAAAATAAGAATTACAACGGCTTTACCTGGCCCATCCCTAACGCCACCACTGCGCGATAGAAAAATACAACGAGAGAGTCAATGTTAACGATTTAATCATTTCGGCGGAGCAAAATCTAAGCAAATAAAAAAACGATAACGAACGAAATACGAATAATTCTCCGGGCAGTAAATCTGCGGCGAAACATTTGTATCGATTTTAATGAGGTCAGAATTCGGACGGACACGGATGGTCATTTTTTTATTCCTTGGCCCAATTCTATCATATTTATAATAATTTACTGGAATAACGTTAAGTATTAACACTTTATTAATTTTGTGCAAACAATTTTTCCATCACCTGTATCTAAATAATATTGATTCGTGACTATCATGTTGGACACAAAATGTTTTCCCACAATGGGACCTATTCAGTGCTAACTATTCAGAAAAAAAAATGTTTAATTTAAATCGTACTTGTATATACGAATGCGTATGGACCTGTATCCCGACTTAAAAATATGATGATCCTAAGCACGTTTTATCTCCAACAGAGAAACAAAAATAGATGAATAACAATTACGGTGCATCGCGATTCGTGAACATTTGGAAAACCAACTGTAATGGAATAAAAACAATCAAAGAACATAGATACCTATATCCTAACCCAGTGCTTCCCAAACTTTTTCGACTCACGGTGCCCTTTTTGATCTAGGATTTTTCAGGGCGCCCTTCTCCAAATCATAAGGAAAATGTTATACCAAATAGTATTTCATGACGGCGCGGCGCCCATGTACAGACATCGCGGCGCACACTTTGGAAACCGATGTCCTAACCTATATTTATATATTGTTACCGCTGTAGACTTCAGTATGTGGCACCGAAACCAAAATATATTGTAGAGCAACATATAAAGTTTGAACCACCTCACGACCGGATTAAGAGTTTTATAATATTTGCTTAATACGAAAAATGTTATTAAATAAATAAGACTCATAAATTATACTATCAGATAGGCTAATTACACACTACAGTGTTGATTATTTACCGTGTTTGTTTATAATCAGTGCCTGAAAGGAACGTGTTCCAAGGAACTTTATCCCTTCGATTTTGTTCAATTTTAAAAAACTCATCGGTAACGTAGTAGTAGTTCAATTTCATTGTCAAAGAACATATTGAAATTTCGTTTATTTTTTCAAAGGAACATGAACGTTTTTTTTCGTTCCTTATATGGACTATAAATCGGCAAGTAGTACCTTATCTTTCGGGCGCATCTGTCCACATCCCACGGGGCGCAAATGCACTACTCTGGGGCGCAAATAGGCTGTAACCATATAAGTAATTCGCAACTTGACCACTGGACCACCGATGACTCTTCTACCACAAACAAATCATGTGATAGGGCATCTGCCCCTCCCGAATATAGGGTTAGGTGGTACTGGACTGTAATATGGTTATTGTAACACCGTTAGACCGCCACGATGTGTTCGATGGCTAACCGATTAATAGTTAGTCCATTACCGCACGAAAAAATAATAATTAAAATATGAAATGTTAATAATAATGAAAATCGCCGGTACGACCAAACGATCTTTCGACCGACAACAATCGTTTATACGTACGTTTTGCACTACCCCGGGTACAGTTCGATCAAACCGTTCGTAAATCATCAAAGACTGAGTATAACAAACCCATTAAACAAGGTCGATGACCGTTTACACGAAGCACACCAGTCTCGAAACACGCCTCGGGTGTGTTAGACGGTATTTTTAACGGGCTAAGAAATCGTCCTAAGAAATTTGCAAGTGACCGTTGCCGTTCGTCGGTATTGCGGAACACACGTTCAGTACGGTCACTTGGCATTTACCGAACAGAAAACAACCATATCCTTTTCCGACATGTCAAATATCGCGATTCCTTGTCAATCGCGCGCGGTACAAACGACCATAAGCGTGCACACGGGGTAGTCAGGGTAGGTACTTGACTATTCTGTGAAACTTCCCACCCTCACCAAAATATTCAATATGATCACAATAATAAATAAACATATTATTTTCAACCACTTCGAAACATTAGTTAACGTTAAAAAAAATGTAAGAATACTGGAGAAATATAGTTTTTAAGTTAAATGAAGTTACGAATGCAAATTTTTTGTTAATATTAAATGATAATGTATTATGTTTGACTACCCTGCCAGTTATGTCTGCACACGCTTATGCAAACGACCTCGGACTGCGATTCGGTAACATTGTTACGGCTGAACGATTGCCGATCGGATACAATCGTACATTATGATTGTACAACTTTTATCCGGGGACGTATTTAAGGGGTACCATCGCCCGGGGCAGCAAATTTTTTCGCAATTAAGGGAAGGCAGCAGCATTTGTTTGTAACCATAATCCATCATCCGTTTTCATTCGTCGATCAAAATTTTTTAATATTTTAGGATTTTGCATAGCGATCGCACGGCGATTTTTATTTTCATGATAATATTAAAAGTTTACAGCGTAAAATCTATAGATTATAAATATTATCTTTCTTGAAAAAATCGTATAAAACGTGTGTAGAGGTGGCAATAAAGCTTTACCTGGGGCATCAAAACTCTAAATACGTCTATGCTTTTCTCGCATCACGTAAATGGGCTATACATGATTTAATGATTTTTGACCGATTCGTTCCGTAAATTTACACTCCTCCGCCTTGGCTCCGTACGTACTTTTTTCAATGTCACCAAATGTGGCATTTTCTACCGGTATGCACTCTGAAAATTTATAATGCTTTGCAAATAGGATACTTCGGCACCGATTCACCGAGATACTACGATAACTCATGAATCTCTTGCGTCCTATAAAATTACTGCTATAGCGAATAGTATTTTTTATTTTTATTATTTGACAGGCACACCGTTTAAAAGTTTATAGGCTAAACATGGTACAAAAAAATTTAAAATTCGTCCAGTCTATATAGTAATACATAAACTATACACTAATTGTTTTACAGTAATGGTTCATTCTCTATTCTATGACGCCCCCTCACATACTACCCATAGTATTTATGATGTTCACAAAGCTATAACAGTATAATTAAAATATACGTTTATTGACATTTATTTTTGATTGAAATTATAAAATGTTTGTAATATGTGTACAAAAGTTTGAAAAGAAAAACTTAAATTTTTAGATTTAGGCACACTATGTATTATGTATATTATGCATTGTAGGTACCTAAATTAAAATTAAAAAAAAAAACTTCTTAAATTATTAAAACCATAATGATTATAATAATTTTAAAATAAGATAACACATATGCAATTTTAAGTATAAAAAAATCAATAATATTGTTTTGTTACAATGCAATTTAACATATTTAAAATGTTAACTAAATAATTATTGAAATGTATATTCTAAATAATAAAATGAATCAGATCAAATAATATTTCATAATAAACTAGAACTAATATTGCGTATAATTTATAAAAATAAAATAAACTGTAATCATGAGTTATTAAATATTCTGATTAAGTGTGTTTATAGTTCTAAAAGTAAGACAAATATATAAATAAGAAAAAAAAAATACAAATGAAAATTATTTTCTTACACACAGTCATTTGTTTGAACAATAAAATATATTATAAAATCTATAATCGTAACTAGTTTTTTTTCTTCATTTTATCAGTTTTTTTTAGTCAAAATATATTGCCTTGATGAGAATGTTTATATCACAAAATTTACTTAAAAATAGAGAATTAATAGAAAATCCTAACTATTATAAAATCTGAATAAACCATAACCGGGCAAAAGTAATATAAAAAATACAGTAATAAATTTATATGTTTGTATTTTGCTACATACATTAATGTATATAAAATTTTAGAAAATATATATCAAATATATTGATTACCTAACTCATAGTTGATCTTAATAGAAGAGAGCTTTTCAATAATAATTTAAATTAACGTGAGGACTTGAGCTTCCACCGGAGGAATATAAATGCAGATACACGTAACACAAAGAAGATAACAATCAATGCACCAATATCCAATGTGAAACTAGCAGTGGTCATATCTAATTCTCTCAGTGTGGTTAAAGGTTTTTTGAAATGGCAGTATACCTATGATTTGAAAAACAATTTAAACTATGTTCATGATATTATATAAGAGACAGCACAAACCTGATGACATTTGAGAATTTCTCGTTCATATCCATAAGTTGCCAATGCTGTACCTTCAAAACCGTAACGGATGTAACTTAAATATGTAATCCATCGCAAGTAAATAGGTATAGCATCAAAGCTAACAAAGAAACCAGAGAAGAGCAAGAAAGGTACAGACATTACTGGAGCTAAGAACACTCCGTTCTGAAAAGGAAAACAATGATTAATTTTAACTCAATAACAATTACCATTTTTGATTTATTACTTACTTGTACATTCATTGCAGCTCCAACCACAAGCCCAACACTTTGAGCAACAAATGATATAAGAAGACAAGCAGATAAGAACATACCAAATCTAAACATTTCCAGCGGTTGTGATGTCATGTAATAAACAATACTCACATACATAACACAAAATATCGCCTAAACATAAAAATGCATAAATAAGAAAAAAATGTATAGTAAAAAGAGAAAAAAGGAATAAATTATTTAACTTATTAAGCCATGTTCCAAAATAAACATAATTACCTGAAATGGAATGTCTGATAATGTAATGGCCAAATAATATGACCTGAGAGAATACCATCTATTAAAATTTTCTTTGATTAAAACAGGCAACTCTAGAGGGACTGTAAAATATAATTATTAATTAATAAACAATAAAAAGTAATTGATAAGTTGAATTACATGATAAAATAGTGATCGTCATTGAAGTGTACATAAGGAACAACATGTTGAAAAACAAAAATCCAAGATTACTAAGTACTTTTGCGCCATCATTACCAATATCATAGTACAATGAACCAATTAAAAATCCAACCAAAATGTGAGCAAACAAACGTAAGTACATAAGAGTCTGAAATCAAAATTATGATTGCAATTCAAATTAATAACTATAGAAATAATAAATAGTTTTAAGTTGATGTTTTAGAAAAAAAAAAAAAATTAACATACCCAATCTCTTCTACTGAATAGTAATGTTCGCTTCAGAACAATCCAAAATTGAACAAACTCTGAAGTAGCATATCGCTGTTGACTACTTGGTAAACCATTTTTTAATAAAGTATCAGTTGCTTCATCGGCATTATTTAAATTTCCAGTTTTAATCGAACTCAATTCTGAATTTATAATTGAGTCATCATCTAAAATAATAAAAAAAAAGTATTAATATTAAAAAATATATTTTCTGTTGATTATTCATAATCAGCAGCTGATAATAAAAAGAAACATAAAAAAATTAATTTTCTAAATACTCACCAAGTTTAGAAAATTGATTTCCTGAATACTGTAATAAGCTATCAGAATCGACCGATTTCGATAGTTTATCTACTTCAATAAAATTAGAAGATAAATTGCTACCTATAAAAATATATAGGTGTTTTTATAAAAGAAATCTACAATGTTTTCAATTATATTATATATTATATTGAAATACTACATGAATATATATTAAATATTTACTTTTTACAATGTCTTTTGGGTTAACATTGTTCAAAGCCTTGGCTGGTGGGAACGGCTTACCCACTTGAATATCATATTTTCCATTGTCGATAGCAGTCACCAATTTGCGTACATTATCTCCATACTCACCACATGATACTTCAATTACTAAATAGAGAAATTCCATTAGCAAAAATCTAAATTATTATTCAACATATAGTATATTCAACATACAGTACGATGCAGGGTTGTGGTAACTCGGACATTCTAATCCAAGGGTACCGAGGAAAGGAACAAGTTGTTTTGTGGAACCCTGGTAAACACATTGTCCTTCAGCGAGGGTGTACAGATGGTCAAACATCTCGAATAAACGGGCACTAGGTTGATGAATAGTGCAGATAATCGTGCGGCCGCCGCGGCTCAACGATTTCAGAAGGGAAATGCATTGGAAACAAGAACTACTGTCTAATCCACTGAAATCATACAAATTATCATTTAAAATATGCACGATCGAACGATGTTTATTGTGCGCTGATAAAATCTAACCTGGTGGGTTCGTCAAAAAACATAATAGGAGGATTGTTGACAAGTTCAAGAGCGATGGACAAACGTTTTTTCTGTCCACCTGACAAATTGCTCGTCATTGTCCTTCGGTGTTCTTGCAATCCGAGGGTTTCTAAAATTTCTTGAATCTAAAAGTAATGCAAATTTTACATGAGATAATCTAATACGTTTTAACCATCTATATCAGTCATTGATGATAGGAAGTAATTAGAATTGGAACGGTATGAATACTAACCACTTGATATTTACTGTCCTCTGATATGTCTGATCCTAATTTTAAAGAAGTAGCGACGTGCATAGCTTCTTCTACGGACAAATTGGCGTGGAGCTGATTATCCTGCATAATGTAACACGATAGTTTTCTAAATTGACTCAGATTTCTTTCGTGTCCGTTAATAGTGATGGAACCTTTTACACCGGAGCATCTGAAAAGCAAAAATGGAACGAATGCTGTTGTACACAAAATTTTATCGCATTTATATTTATATTCGATAATATTTTTATTACGCCACGGAAGCAATGCGAAAATAGTTCCTGTGGTGTGGTTTATTCAAAATTAAAAATTAATTAACATTTAATAGAATCAACAAATGTCATAGTTGTTCGGCTGAGAAATGATATTAATTAAAATTCAACAAAAAGACATTGGACGTAGGTAATAAGCTAATAAATTACTATGTTAAACCGTAGATGCTGAAAATACATACAGACACGCGTAACCTTGTCCAGTTGATATACCAAAATAATAATCAGTTTTTACATCATACAAAATTATTTAACATTACACAAAAAGAAACACAACGCATAAAGATAATGAAATTCAAAAAAAAATAAATAATAATAATATAAATGTTAAATTGATTCAGTTAAAGCGAGATTAGTGATAATAGCAATATAAATAGCTTACTTGTATCCTGTAAGTATGTTGAGTAACGTAGATTTTCCAGCACCAGACGGACCCATGATAGCTGTCAATTCACCGGACTTTAAACGACCGCTGACGGATTTTAGAATATTTTTTGGAGCTGAAAGAAAATAAAAAATTTAATTTAATAACTAAAACATTTAAATAAAACTTTAAAATCGACATTCCGTTGACTTTAAAACATGGATGCATTTTAATATTAATAACTGAAACATGCATTGACTGTAAATTGTACAAGTATACTTCGCGTATTTTTTTTTCTTATAGCATTAACAATAGCTTTTGAATATAAACATTATACATATGTATGCAATACGTAAAAATCCAAAAAAATATTCAACACATTTTTTACATATATATAACTATTTTCGTCGCTAATGATAAATACACCAGTTGTGCGTAAATAATAATTTCACAAATCGCGTATTAAATAAAATAATAATTGCTCATATTAAGCGAGGTCGATTATAACAAGTTGTTCAGTTTCCGGATTTTTTATAACTATTTGTTCTATCATCTAGTAATGTGTTGAAGAAGATTATAAAAAGATATTGTACCGAATACAAATGAAATATTATAAATTGTATATGATAAGTACACTTAATACGTAGTCTAAAGAATACCTAATTTTATCCAAAGAACAATAAGAAACATGAGAGAAGATTTTTCTTTTTGTATAATACACACGTTTGAATTTTTCTTAGTAATTGATTCACGATAAATATTTATAATAATATACATTAGAATTATTTATTTTTATTTTTAAATTAGATATTTTAGAACTACTAGAAAGAACATATAGCTGAAAATTGGTAAATATATACATTTCACTATAAAATGCATATAATTCAGTAGATGAATGTTAAACTTTGTATCAGTTTAAACAAGGACTTTTATTTATTTTATTAATAATATAAATTATATACAATTAATTATTATATATTAAACCAAATATTATCGTAAAAATCCGTATCCCGATAGAATAATCTGAATAATTAACAATGTATAAATTACAATTTTTTTTTATAATACACGTATGAATAAAATACGAAAAATAAATAGGGGTTCTCCTTCTTTATAAAAAGTTTTACACCGTAATACGTGTGAGAACAACCGGTCCGCGCGAGGACAACATAAACCGTGACCTTGCATTCAAAAAGGCAGACAAATTCCTTCAGTTGCTTTTTAATAGTCGTAAACATTATACTTTAATGGTTGATGTATTACAAACCATAATAATTTTGTTAAAAACTATCCACAATCATTCAATTTTTTATAATCATCGTTATTTAAAAAAATATTTCTACATCTATTATTTTAGGTCGTAAAAAATAAATAATCTTATAGTTTAATAAATAAACTTGGCTAATCTGCGGTAAGATAAACAAAATGTTATTGAAAAAGGATATATAAATATAAGCATAAATAGATATTTTATTATTAGCAAAATGTTAAAAAGGACAATATCATTATACATTGGTGGATTGAAATAGTACTGCTATATAACGAAATCATAAACCCATTGTATAATAATTATATTCAAGTATGAGCAAATAAACAGGAGAGCAGTGATATTCCTTAAAAATTATTTAAATCTTGGTTATTTTTAACACAAAAGAAAATTGATAAACTTGAGATTTATTTTAGAAGTAATCTTGCATTTTAAAACTTGTCTGGTATAATTTTGGTAGTAAAATAAATGTGAACACACACAGTATAAAGTGACCTAACGGAATCTTAATGCACAGAACACGGCATTTTAATTTATTCAGATAGCTATAATTCATTGCCATTTGTGTTAACATTAAATTACAATATTGAATAAGTAATTAAAAAATAATAGCAATACAGAAGTATCAACAGTAAAAAAAAACTTTTGTTTATAACATTTAATATATTGTGAAAATTGTAACCTAACAACCAAATGTAATTACAAATTACAATCCAATAATGCTGATTTATACTTTCAGATGCAGTATAAATCAGTATAAAATGGTTTTTTATACATAATTAGCGAGAACGACGTTTATTATTATGTTATTGAAACACAAAAACAAGTTTTGGCCATGGTTAGGCAGTGGTCGAGTGGTCATGGATAAATGGGATATGGCAAATAGTTATGTTCTCTATTCTATGTTCCAATGTGATACGATATCATGTGATACATATTTACTAAATTATATACAAATTGTCTGCTATTAATAATAATAATAATAAAATCAAACAAAAATTGTTATAAAGTTGCGACACTATTGAAATACAATAAAAATATCACGAGAAAAATAAAATAAATAATGCACTTAGGAAATCCGGTATCTACATTGAATCGGTTCAAATTCCAATTTTTTTATTCAATATTTTAATGCTGTAATTATATTATAAATGAGAAAATTGCATCTCTCAGTAAATAAAATATTATGATAATGTATTGTCCGCTATCTAGCATAATTATGATAGCCAATAGATGTATAATAAAATTAAAATCATTATTAACACGTGTTACCTAACTTGATGGATTTGAAATATGAAAGGTAGTATAGTATGATCTGAACTTTAATCTATTTTCTATTGCAAATTATATCAATATGAATTGAATATTTAAAATATTATAAAAAATACATGAAATCAATCTGTATTACGAAGGTAAACGCATTTGTGCACTAAAATATAATCGAACATGAACACTTAGAAAAAGGTACATGTATATAAAATAATACTTATGTATATAAATAAAATCATTTTTGTAGAATTATTAAATGACTGTTTTATCAAATATTGTTTGAAATATACTTATAAATATATTAATAGAATTTTGGAGAGATCTTTCAATTATTATAAGAAAAATTTAATTTTGAAACATAACAATTTTTGCAACTGAAGAAATATAACCTTCAACTCTTGATGTTATGCATAATCACATAATGAAATCTCGTAATGAATTCAGAGTACAAAATTCCGAAATGTGTTAAATTCGCATAGTTAAGAAGTATGAAGAAATAAATTATGATGCGCTTGGATAGATTTATCGAAGTTTAAATGAATTATAGCAATTATAGAGTGCAATTAATATATTAGCCGCATAAAGCACATTTTGGAAAACCCTGTCTTCGAGATCTGATATTCTCTATGGATTTCGACATGGTAAGGGGAGGGGACGCCGACCTTCTGCTGATTCTCGTATGAAGTTTACTTATGATGTAGCCTGGTAACATTACGAACTTCGTAAATTAATTTTAGGAGATCATCCGGAAAATATTAAGTGCTAAATAGAAAAGAAATCGACCTGATATAAGATGTTATTGCCAACCATTTACATACGGACTTGGATACAAAAACAATAACAACTCATACAAAAACAATGAGAAAAGCGCTGATTCGTCGGCCTTCACAACAGTAATAATTTACCTATAGTTATGTCAGGTCTGTATGTGATCAAGATGGACTTCAAACGCTTTAATAAATCGTATTGTGTCATATCATGTTTTAGGCTCTCAACAGTGACCTTATCCACTGCAAATTTCCAACTGTAATTGCGTATATTCCTTTAGTCATTATCAAACGCAAGTAAAATTATTCAATTTAACCTTATTTGTATAACCACCTTTCATTGAGAATACACGAGAAACACTAGTCGAAATTAATATTTCGTACACAGGGCAGAGAAGTCAAAACGATTGTAATCATGTTTTTTAATTAACGTATGCGTTGGTGCTTAACGAAATATCTATAAAAAAAATAAAGGAATTCGTAGGAAAAACGTCATTGTACATCGAGAAAACCTAAGCCTAGCAACCCGTGCTTCCCCTTATTCTATCGATTATGAATCGTAACGAATCCTGCTTGATCGATATTATATACTCTACTGCAGTAGTTGTATAGAAAACCGATAAACCCATCTGACTAATTGACTAAAAAAAGTTCATCGGTCGAAAAACTTATTATGTGTCGCCGACAAAGAACTCTAGTCGTGCTGACACGATGATACGCATGACGTAAATGGTGCGTGTTTCATGACGGACTTCGTATACCTCCACTTCCCCCCTCAGTATAAAACTGAATACAGTCGATTCCAGACTCTAGCAATAGGAACATAAGTGGCACTAATTGTATGGACGTTTTCTAAACCAATCACAGTTAACACATTACGATGGCGAAACTGGACATTATTTACATAGGTACTTACAACATTATACTTATACGTTGAAACAAGTCGTGTTTATTGGAGACCGTGCAAAAACGATCGAATAGCGTAAAATGAAAATACTCAATTTATATTATACTCACTGCTTTTGGCGCCTTCGGTCACGGTGTACATGAGGTCGGAAAAAGCGATGTCCACCGGCGGCCTCTTGGGCAGATGGCTCAGAGTTTTAGGCTGGCATGGCGTGATGGTCACTTTAACCGAACTGGGTCTCCTGATAACAGACATGGGATCGATTAAACGACCGTCTTGTTTCGCAGCGGTCAGCTCGTCCAGAGGGACGACGACGACGGATTCGTCGTTAACGGTCATGTTGCGGTAGCGATGACGACGTCACTCGGTACAGTCGTACGGTTCGAGGGGGACGGAGGAAGGAAAAGAAAAAATGAAAAAAAAAAAACCACCCGCGAGAAACCGACGTAAAAAAAAAAAAAAAAAATAGCGGCCCTGCGACGCGACGATTAATGTATTTAATGCGCTGGAAATCCGATCGCGAACGTACGAGGACCGTTTACCTACAGCTCATCGCGATCACTGTGTACGCGCACGGGCTCGACTGCGTACAACTCCGCCGCCGTAGTAGCGCGCAACGCGCACGTATCAACAACAGTTGGCAGTTAAATATTATAATAATAATAATAATAATAGTAAGCAGTAGTAGGGACGAGGAAATAACCTTTGTTTGCCTTGAACGGTGCCGCCGCCGCCGCTCGCTCTGCCACGACCTCCCACCCTCCCATCTTCAACGCGTACGCCGAGCGGACTAGACGTATCCGTAGAACTACGCTTCGATTGCGGTACGGACGCGTCAAGAAACACCGGCGAAATCACCTAGCACGACGATAGCGAGCGGTAGCGGTAAGCGTTAGCGTGCGATAAGTATTGTGGCACGATTTGTACGAAGTCGGTCGCACCGTACATTACGGTCGGAAGAATAATTTCTTTGGTTTTACATTTGATGTTCACGCGATTGACGTGCGCGCTAACATGAGAAAGACACGTTAAAATAGTACGAGTCATTTACCAAAACGATTAGAAAAAAAAAAAAAAAAACCCCTTGTTGCGCCTATGCCAGTGCAGCGAATGCGTGACGACATTTTTTTCATTCTTTAACAGGCACTATACGTAAGAGATTGCTAACGAAAAAGATATTGAAATTCAAATAAATGCACGCATTTTACAATAAAGTAAAATTTTACCGACCTATATAACATTCAACCTTTGAGTGTTACAGAGCTAATAACATTTACAGGTACGTCAGATTTTCATTATTTTTAAGGATTTAACGATTTCTTTTTTTTTTCGGTCGGTTGGACATGAATTTCCGATATACGCTGTTGCTTATAGAACACTCAATGATTTCTTTAAAATTATTGTCCTTCAATGTATTTTCCGTACATTTTTTCTGACAAGACTTTGGTGTAACAGGCTGAACATTGAGATATTATTTATTTTATTTATTATTATAATAATCAAACATTTAATTGAGTTTTAATTCAAATACACATACATGTTGATACAAATAAATTAAAAATATCTACAAATTCCATAACGTTTTAGATTTTAAACTTGACGAAAAACACTAACGCAATATTTTAATAATTTAATTCGACAGTAAGAATAATTTTCAGAAAATCAAACTCGGAATACATAGTTTTAAACATTTCAATTTTTTTACAGCATGGGTGAGTGAACCAACAATAAATTACAAAAAGGGTTTAGGTATATTTTCAAGTATAAATGGATTAAATTATATTAATCAACATTTATGGTTTAATAAGATTAAAGTAAAAATATATTTAAACTTCGTTAACATTTCTTCCTATTTAAGTACAAATCCAATCTATATCATACAATATTTTATCATTAAAAAAATATAATTACAGTTTACAATTATCAATAGAACATAATAAGTATAAAGATTTTTATAATATTTTAACTTTACATTTGATACATTTTTTAAAAAAATTCCAATTTTGTAAAAACAAATAATAAAAAAGTCGAGCTACATATTATGAGAGTGTTACCTTTTGACATTCCAGCTCAACTCTTACAATATTTGTTTTTACCATTTACAAAATTGGTCGAATAGATATATTCTTCACATTTATATAACTTTGTGTGCGAAAATTGTAATTCAATCGATATTATATAATTTCTTTTTTTTTTTTTTTTGTCACCAACAAGGAAATGCAAAAAACATGCATTTTAGGATACGTAAATTTTTTTTACATTTATTTATATGTATTGAAATTTTTATTTGATAACCTATCGAATTTATCATCTTATAAAAATAATTTTATTTACGTGAAGGACAATATTTTTAGTACATATAATTGAGAACTATAAAAATAAAATAATTATGATCTTTATTATTTAAAAAGTAGAATAATTTTGATAAAAATGTATGTTATAAGTCTAAAGAAATGGTTATAATACTCATTATTCTTCAGTTAAAATATTATTTTATAATTCAAGGACTGTAGCGAGGACTGTAACTTTAATAGGTTCAATATAAACTCACATTTGTACAGCTAAATGTATAGTCATGTAAAGTTATCCATTCATTATGCACAAGGATATGAAACATAACGGCAAATTTATTTAGATTTCTAATTTAATAATTATATTTATTTTTATTTTTTTATTTATAATATAATTAATTTTTGTAAACACACACTAACTTAAACTTCAGTATAAAAAAATAACAATCTACGTAGAAAATATACCTGCAAAACAGGCGAAATTCAACGAATACCAACAAAGAAAATTTTCTTTAAAATGCAAAAAGATTTAATGATTTTAGATAATAAGAATAATATAAATATTTGTATTAATTATAAATAATAAGTACAATATAAGTAAGAATTATAGTTTAATTTTTTTTCTCGAATACGAATGGTATTGTATGTAAATATGTATTCGTATATAAACGTATAATATTATACACACACTTTTTTTTTTTTTACAAATTCGTGACAAAATCTTTATACATAAACAATACAAAATATAAATGAGTACAACTGTACCGAGGAAAATAATGAAATAGGATTTTTTTTATTTCATTGATTCGTAAATAGAAATTATGATAATAATGAATGCTGTTAAATTAACAGAAAGTAGCTAGGTACACTATTTTATTACATTTAATGAAATTATTTGAATAATTAACAGAACTAATTGTTAAAGTTTAATGCTTAAAAATAAATGGAATTCAAATGCATTTACACTAAACACGTTTTACGTCTAATGTACACTACAAGAACATTAATAATATATTAGCAGTGCAACTAATGATTTCAAAAAATATTACTAAAACTAAACGTTTTTAATCGTAACTTATTAAATAGCTAATGTATGTCAAGCTATCTATGTTAATACATAGGTCAATACTAAAGATATTAATTTACAAACTATACATACAATAGTATTTTTGAAAATGGTGAGATTACAGTTTAAAACATAAACCACGTAATACTAAGAATTTTATAACATATAAACACTAATTAACAAGCCAAATGTATTTCAATATGATTTATACATCAATCATTATATGTAAATTCGTAACTATACATACTATTATAAAATAAAAACGTCGAAAAAACATTTTTCTCATAGTCAAGTTATAAATACTTTGTATTCCACCACATACATTCATTGACGTAGTATTACTAAATATTTCAATACAGAAAGATTATTTAGGAAATAAATGTAGTTATTTTCGTAATAAAATGCAAATATTTTATAATTTATTATCATAATATATACTTCCTAATAATTTATTATGAATCATAAAACATAGAAATGCATGAACAGCAAATTCAATATAATAAAGATTAACTACATCATCAATAAACAAAGAGGGTTTGCTTTGATATTTTCCATATACTATAAAATAGGTAGGTATCAAATATAACAGATATGGGTGTTGGTGAGTTACGACTGTGGGCGCAACTCGAGCCCAAATATTGGGCGTGCTGAAATTGCTGAAAATAAAATAAAATGGTATTTAACTGTAATTACTATAGATCATATAGATCAGAAAAAAACAGGAGTGCTACATTTGAGATCAGGGGTGCTAAAAACCCTATTGCACCCCTTTAGTTACGCCTATGGTTGCACTGCAATCCCTAAACAATGTACGAGTTGTGGCCATACAATAATGTATATATTATATACATATATGTATAGTGTAAAAACATCACAACATAAATTCAACAATATAACCATATTTTCTAATACTGTCGTATATTAATATTTGTCATTTCAAGAATATCACATAATATAATAATAATATTTTCATACATAAATAATGCTTTTTTTTGCGTTTATAGAAACAGGTGCATAGCTAATAGGTAGGTACATAGGTAATCATAATTACTCAAGCCGCAACTAACCTACGGCTAAAATATAATAGGGCCTATAATCAACCGGTCTTCAACACCGGAAACGACACGTTAGGCCGCAGCTCACCCACAGCCTAAGAAATAACCGAGGATACAACCTATAAACAATACAGGAAAACCCTATAAGTACGTCACCACAGCCAATTGGTATAAAGTTAACGATCAATGTTTATACATTGTATTGCGCTCAGTTGCTAGGTAAATAATTTATGCAATTCGTACGTTTAATTTGTAATTATAGATAACAGTAAGCGTGTGATATTCATTTTTAAAGTTGAATGCACATACTAGTGGACTTTACTTTGGTCTTATGTTAACTAATAAAAAAGTACATAACACGTGAGTATTCATAAAACAAATTACGTCAATACAATGCATTTTTAATCGAAAAAGTAAAAAATGATAGAGTAGTTTAAAGCACAAATGAATAACAAACCAAGAACTTTGAAAGGCCGATGAAGTATTGTTAACGATATTACTGTAATGGTCGTATTATATTATGTTTTAGTATGAAAATAACTCTGAAAGATTCTGAGCAAAGGTACTATATTACTTGGAATTTACCCATATTATTACTATAATATTATTGAATATTTTAAAGATAAAAATAAAAGAAAAGTAAGATCAAACATTCAAAAATGATAACAGTGCAAAAAATTATACATTTCTAATTTTTATTTTAATAAACGTTAAATTCGAGGTTAAATTACTCAACAATTTAATCACTGTAAAATTAATTATTCCTCGCTTCGATCAGTTATATATTATAAAAATTTAATTTTAATACATTTATATTGATAAATATTATACAAATTTTTTTTCAACCATGTCGAGTCAAATGAATAACTTTAAATAATATTATTAAAACTATTTTAAAATTAAGTGCATTTATAAAACAAAATAGGTGTTTTAATAATTTAGAAATTAAAACAAATTATTACCTAATCTAATCCTATCTTGTAATTGCGTACCTTTTAAGTTATAGATCATGATTTATGAAAAATTATAACAAGTGAAACAATTGAAAAATAAACATACCATCATTTAGTTAGGCAAAACTATATACACTAATGTTACTTGTGTTATATACAACAAAGAAGACTTTAAAGGGGTTCCAGCAGAGCATGTTTTAAGGAGTAATAATTAGGCAATTCATATTACATGTACATTTGAACTATGTCATTGTGTGTGTAGTAAACATTAGCGTGTGTAATCCATTATCCACTACCACCTACCGGTCAACAGTCTTATGGATTCCCGGAACTACAATAATGATATATTTTAAAATGTCATACAAATGTCACATTACCTAGGTATGGTATATGTAATTAAAATAAAAGAATAATTACGGAATAATTTTAAATTTTTAGAATATTGTCATTATTTTAAATTTAATATACATTTTTTTTTATGATTACCTGTTCATAATCACAATTTATATCACTTTTCTTCTTCTTCTAAATTTTTCAATCGATATTTTTTTGTACTAGGTGCACCAAGCTTGCATATAGTTTTTCGCCCAAAACGCTAGTCCTTACCCATTTTGTAAGTAAATTAAAAAAAAGAACAAAAAACAGTAAAAATGTACAGACAACTTTGCTGATCGGTGCGTAATGCTGAAATGAAATGATTCATAAATCATAGGTAGCATATTTCCTATTTACATATAATTTATACGGGTCGTACTCGTATATAATATTTTATAATAATTTTGAAAACGATCATTATTATTGTTACGCTACGTCGGAGAATCGCAAGTCGCTGTCGAAAATAACTCTCACACGCGCACGCAAATATTGATAAAACGTGAAAAATTATATATATTCTTGTTCTTATAACCTATAAAAACTATTAAAAGCTGTTGTAAATTAAACATACTTTCTGAACTTCGATTGTAATTTCGAAAAAATGGTTAAATTCGTAACCTTCTTGACTATGATTTGTAGGAACTACTTTTTTGATTTAAAACCATATGTGCCCGAAATAAAATGTAATGCAATCATTTCATGAGATTTTTTAAAAAAAATATTTTAATTTTAAGATCCTTTAAAGTATAAAATTTAAAATCGGCTTCTGGAAAGCCTAGATATTTTGTTAAAGAATACATGCGTGTATTAAAAATTGAAATCGAATATTTATTAATATATATATATATATTAATTATGTTTAATTTATCACAATTTATTGGTCTAAAACGTACGAAAAATACGTGTGATGCGATCTCCTTATATTTTGATTTTAAATTATGCGCATAATTTATTATAATTATTATTAAAAATCATTAAAAACCAACCAAATATAAGTTAAAAATCTTAAATACGCACAAATAAATGCACTAAAATGTTAAAATATGCATGAAAAAAATAGCAATAAAAAATTATAAAAGGTTTATCTAAGCATGTTTAATAATAAGTTATTATTAAATATACTTTTACAGAATAGTCAACCTATCATACTTGTGTAACTTAGTACGTGCGTAAATATATGTATACTTGAACATATAATATAACACGTATATAAATAGTAGATATACATATTTAATTTCATAACTACATGTCATTTTTCATCATACACAAGGCATTCACTACCGTCCATCAACATAATGATGCTGAAACCTACTTTCTATTCATCATACTATATTTATCCTATAATTTTGTACCAAATGTCTGTCTATAATCAGTTCTAAATTAAAAAAAAAAAAGTAGGCATACATATTGAAGTACATATTTTATTGTTTGTGCAGAAATTTACTCCAATAATAAATGCTAAAAATATAGTACATAAATCAAATAATTATATAATTCAAAACATAATACATGCTAATTACTATCGCCAAGAAAAATATTTTAAATAGATCTGAATATATTATTGTGCAACTTTCTAACTATTCTTGTAATAATCTGGTAATAACCAATACTTGCATAAGTTTTAAGCGGACCGAAAAAAAAAATATTTATTGTACACTTATAAATTCATTTTGTGGTTTAATTCCTCAATGGTTTTTACAAAACATCTAAATCACTAATAAATTCAAACTAGAGACTAGAGACATAATCAGAGATTATGGAACAAAAATACAAATAATAACTACACGCATTAAATAAATTTATAAAAATTTAAAATGTTAAATTGTTAAAATGTGTCATGATTAAAATTATGTTAATTTTGTGATTATTGATTTTTTTATATTTATTTAATTTTTTATTAAATTAGGAATTTTAAATAAATAATTTTATAAATTTAATCAAATAATTATAAATTTCATTTTGAATTATAACTCATAAAATATAAATTTATAAAATAAGTGAATAAAATATAAAACAATGAAAGTTTTAAAATTAAATAATTTTAGTTCCATTAGTTAATCAATATAGATATAATATATTTAAACATACTGTGCTTTGTATACAAATATATTCTAACAATAAGAGAAGCAAATGTAATCAACAGATCTTCTATTTACTCCAAACTACTTTGAAAAAATTAAAATCATGAAAACTATATTATTCAAAGTAAATATCCAATGAACCTAGGAACTATTATTTAATTAACAATTACATTACCATTAATAAATTGAGGTTTTAGATATTATATGAGCAAATCTATAACAAATTATGATAAAATAATTTAAAAATTGCCAACAGAATATATATTTATAATAAGTATTAGGTAAGTGAATATCTACTAAAAAAAATTTTAAGAACCTTAATAAAAACTTCATTATTTTTGTACTTTTTCATGTTTTAAGTTTATAATAAAGATTTTTTTAGTTAACTTTCATGCATGATGAGTTTAAAAATACAGCTGCATCAGTGAATCAAAGAATTCTCTTTTCAAATAGTTACACAATACGAGTAGACGAGAGAGAAAGTATTAGGTTATAAAAATTACCTTGACCTAATCATATTTTTTATAGAAATAGACAAAAATCTTTATAAATCTCACCAAGGTACTAAAATTCAATAAGTAAATATCATTAAAAAAAAAGAAAAAAAATTTACACAAAATTAGACACCAAATAAACTAAATTCAAAAGAATTTTAATATATCTGTTTAATGCTACAAACACATACATTTTTAATATTTCAACTAAAAGTGTAAATTTAAAATTAATGAATAATTTAGTAAAATAATATGGACCTCAGTATTTATTTGTAAATATAAGGAAATTCCTTTTTTATACTAAATTTCTCTAATACTTATATCTAGTAAAAAATTAATAAATAAAAACAGGTTTTAAAATTTCAACAGTTGTTAAATTAAAGAAAAGTGAAAGTGAAACTGAAGGTTGGTTCTATCAGATACTTAGCAGAAGTGTTTTGTGTGTATATTATGTAAAATAAAAAACTAAAACAGATAAATATAACCGTAGGTAAAATCATCTTATTTAACAAAAAAACAAATAATGCATCAAACTTAGAACTACTTACTTGATGGGAACATTAAAAAAAAATTATTTCCGGTAAAATATGAACTTACTCAACAAAAAGAAACAAAAATTAAATAAAAGGTTTTCTATAAAATTAGCTTATAACAAAAATGTATATTCAATTCATACTGAATTTATGCTTAATGAGACTAGAAGGTGGAATAGTACTTTTAAGAACAAAAACTAATTTGGATTACTTCCAAACATTTTATATCAAATTAATAGAAGAAAAACATTTATTAATCAAAAGTATCCATATTTGGAAATCCATATTTTATATCATCATTTTTACCTATACTCATAAAATACCAATTAGAAAGTTAACATAAACTAATGCATTAAATGTAAATATGTATATATTATATTATAATTATTGAGTAGAAAAACAAATCTAATGTATTTTTATCAAAATTCCTATTAGACAATAAATAAATTATGTATTATGATCTGAACAGTAATCTACATTTAGTTACACACCGTACATAAGACATATATTGCACACCCAGAAGAAGAACGACACAACTCAAAATTTAAACAATTTAAGTTGAGTGCATATTCTAAAAATTTGTGTTGTACTGATCAAATTGTTAAAACGACCGAAGTCAAATTCGCATTAGTAAAATATACTATTACTATAATATATTAGACTTCGGTTGTTTTAACAAGTTGATCAGTAAAACACGAATTTTTAGAATATGCACTCAACTCAAATTGTTCAAATTTTGAGTTGTGTCATTCTTCTTCTGGGTGTGCGATACACAAGACTATTTCAAGAGAAGAAACTCTAACATAAGTTTTAAAACTTAAATACATAATATACTTTTAATAGAAAGAATTTAGGTATATCAATGCAGATGAATAAATGAAATAGGTATAAACTATAATGTATAACCATAAGCACAATATCTTGAAGTTTTAAACATATCTGTAGAATATGAAGTGCATTCAATGGTCAAGATAACAAAGTAGGTGTAATAGTATTGCTGTACCGATTGAAATAATGTCTTACTAACAGAACCTAAGGA